GTGAGATGCATTAAATGCTTGTCATGATATTTTATTAATTTTTAAGGAAATGAAAGATTTATAGGTAAGTACGAAATCCAATAAAAGATTTTGTACCATCATGCAAAATTTCGACATGAAAATTAAGAGAATAAAAAATGAAATGGAAAATATCATTGCATTAAAACACATTTGCATAATATAAAAAAAAAGTGTCAATTGTAGAAAATATGAATAGATAGATAAGACATTTTGTTTGAAAATTTATTTTTAGGAAATCTTAGTAATTAAAACAATCGAGAAATAGATTTAAGAAAGCTTTGAAGTGAAATGCATTAAATGTTTGAAATAACATTAAATTAATTTTTAAGAGATGAAAGGCATAAATGTAATTACAAAATCCATAAAAACATTTGTTCTATAAACCAAAATTTAATCATGAAATTATGAGAATAAATAAATAAATGAAATGGCGTTACTTTCAAGCACTTTTAAATATTATAAAATAAAAGTAGTTGTTGTGTGTAGAAACAATAAAAAGATATATAAGACATTTTGTTTTAAAAAATAAATTAATGTTTAAAAGGCCATAGACTTGGTGTTTTTTATATTAAGGGAATGATTTCATTCAACGGTTGTATAGTAGTATAATGCAGCTATCTTCAAAAACCATGTTAGAGACATTTTTTGACACGAATTTTTATATGTACACTATTTTCATTATGAAGAACAATCACAAATTTTTTTTTTTTGAAAAAATTCTCTCGAAAGTTCTCATTCTAGCCCAATTAATATAAGCTGTCCATTTTATTGAGATGGTTAGATATAGGCCTCAAAAGGATTTTTTTATTCCCAAATTTTTCATATAGCGTAAACATCATTAAATTAATAATGATAAGAAAGGAAAACGTGATTTTGAATTTGTTAAGGCCTAGATCTTGAAATTCACCAAATGGACGGTCGAGATTCATTGTTGGATGGGTACCAATTTTGACCATATCTAAGTTGCAAATTTAATTTTTTTTTTCGTAGGATTGATTATGAGGATTGAAGACCCAGGCATGTACAGAGGGCTTGTGGATAGACTAATTTACTAACTCTTACTTGGCCAGACATAGCTTTTGCTATGAGTAGTGAGTTAGTTCATGCATTCTTCCAGAACCCTGCACTCGGAGGCAGTAAGAAGAATATTGAGATATCTTAAAGTGTTCTAGGTCGAGGACGGATCTATAAGAAGAATGGCCATTTTCGTATTGAGAGCTATTCTGATGCTCATTGGGCAGAATCTCCATCCAAAAAAAGATCTGCTACAGGCTATTGTACCTTTCTTGGAGGAAATTTGCTAACCTAGAAGAGCAAGAAACAAAGTGTGGTATGGTAGCTAGGTTGAGTGTAGAGGCTGAATATACAGCAATGGCTCACACGACATGTGAGCTATTGTGGCTGAAACCTTGATGCAGGAAATGGGATTTTAGTTACTGAGCCATTGAAGATGTTCTGTGACAATTGTTGGGGTTATGTAGCCATTTAAAGGTCTTATGAGAGCATGTAAAACCATGACTATAGTGATATAATAGCTCCAGTGGCAGCGTGGTCCGGATGGGTTTTGTGGCATGACCTTGGGTGGACTGTGAGGCATTGCTGATGCCGTGGCTCTCTTGAGTTTTGACGGGCTATGACTCAGGTTGATGTCTAAAAACCCATAGCCCTGGGCATTTGTGCATAACAAATGAGTGTTTTGATGTGTGGTTATCCCTTGATGAGGTTGTAGCTATGCCTAAGGCTGTTGGCCAAGGGATTGAATGTGACCCTGTGTGTGACGGTTGGCCAGAGAGGACAAGGGCCAAAATCCTCATCATTACCATCACACGACATGTGCACTAAATAGCCGCTCGAGAAGCAGCCTTCTGGATGAGGGTGTGCATTGTGCGCATGTGTCGAAGAGATGACTCCTTGCAACACTGGACTGTGTTGGAAGGACCCATCAAGCATAGTGCTAGAATGAGGCATGGACTTATACTCATGGAAGGACCTGTAATCCATCGACTAGGATCGCGTCTCATACATTTATTGGCTAACTTTGATTGTCCAATCATGAATTCCTGCGAAGGGCCATGGGTCATGGGAACTATTTGGGCCAGTTTGCGAAGGTGGAGTGAGATACGGTTTCTAAAAAGGATGGAGTTCTCAGTATGTTTGTCTTATTTTTTATTCTCTTGATCCAATTCCCATCAAATCTTCTTTAATATGGTTAATTATGTTTTAATTATATTTTAGATAATTAAAATGAATTTTTAAACCTCTATGGATATTATATTTTATTAAAAAAGATTTTGAAATAAGGAAAATTGTTTTTCTGGATTTGTTTAAATTAGAGAGGAAAAAAAAGTATTTAATGGATTTATAAAAATCTTTTCATTATTCTAAAATATAATATATGGTGTTGGGTCCCATTGGGAATTTGGGCCCACCACAAATAAGCCCATAATTGGGGTGTGGGGCCCACATGGCTATCCATGTGTGGGGTGCCCCAATCCCTTCTTCTTTCCTTTTTGTGTGGCTTGTGTGCTAAGCCACCTTCTTGATTGGAAAAATTAAGGAAAGTGTTATGTAGAGAATTTCATTGATTTCAAATTAGAAAGTGTATAGATTAATTGAAATTGATTGCAAAAAGATAGTATTTTCTCTACACAATATTTGATGAGAATAGAGTTATAGAAATTGAGAGATAATAGTTCTATCTCATTCTTTTTAATCATGATGGCTGATATAAGGGATGAATGGATGAGATCTCTTCATCCCATAGGTCTCCATGATCAAATGTCAAGATTGAGTCTTATAATGATGGCAAAACCTAACCTCAAAAACCCTATCCTCTATAAGATAAATACTCTCTATGGCGGTTCTTTTCTCTACACCTCTTGATTAGCCTCACTCTCTCTCTCTCTGTGAACCCTAGTGCAGGCACACCCCTCTCTATCTCTCTCTCTCTCTGTCTGAACCCTAGTGCAGGCACACCCCTCTCTATCTCTCTTTCTTTCTCTCTCAACTTAGCATAGGGTTTAATTGTAGAAGGTTGAACCCTAAGGGGGGGATACACTCAACTAAAAGGGGATACAACCTAGCCATTGCGCATTGAGATTTGCTCATATGTTGAGCCTTGATCGAAGTCCTATCCCATGTCATGCTCTCAAGGGATTTTGCCTAGGCTTCCTGAGTTATGAAATAAGGTTAGATCGAGATCCCGTGTGCCATTGGTGGAGGAGATCCGACGTGGGATGTACGAAGTCCCTTGGGGGTAACTTGAGGTAAGGTATTCGGTATTACTCTATTTAATGTGTTCTTGAATTCACTCATAGTGTTTAAGTAATTTTCAGATTTATGTTATGAATGTATTTTCTATTTTGATGGCATGCGAGAGTACTTGGCATTCTTTGTGTTTTTTATTGATTCTTATATTGTGTTTGGAGTTTTGGGCACTTGTAAGTGATCTCGGTGGTGGGAATAAAGAAAAAGGAAGAAAATTTTAAACGGTATACACTTCCCCGGGTCACATAGTCCTACTTTCAACAATTAGGCAACCATTCATATAGCTAGCAACCCAGTTTTTCATGAGAGGACGAAACATATTGAGATGGATTGTCATTTTATTCGGGATAAAGTAGCAAGTAGATAACCACTTCGTGTGTGAAGCCAAAGGATCAATTGGCCGATATATTCATCAAGGCTCTTGGTTGTAACCAGATTCAATAGATTTGTTCCAAGTTGGGC